TGCTAGTTTCTGGAATCTTCCTTTGAGAAGGCTTCTCCAGGTTTTATAGAAGTTTTGCATGTGTGCTGGGTGCTGGCTCCTATTGTTCCTTATGGATGTTTTGGAAAAAGCTACACCACTTTCTTTCTTGTCACTACCTGCCTTGCTGTGACCCTTCCTACCATCATTCATTGCTACCTCTGAGTGCTGAACATTTTGCTTTCCTAGTGATCATAGCTCTTTGAGCCAACCTTAAATGGTCTAGAGTTTTTATAATTAGTAGCCCCAATCTGACTCCCTTGATGAAGACTAAGTGGTCTATGTCATCTTTCAGCTTCCTAGAGTTGTTCCTCTGACCTTAAACCAAGATCCCAAGCAAATTCACCTTCCTGCTCTCTCCAGTCTTGTTCTTTTTCTTAAGACAGATTTAGTCTCTTATTGGCCTATCAAACCCTACAGTTTCCATTATTATTTCTTGCAGGGGACTCTTATGCACCTAGAGTTCCTGGGGGAAGTTTTGCAGATTAGAGTCTTTACAATAATACTGGTTTTCAAAAAGAAGTAGTTCTCAAAATTAGAATTTTTCAGCTGGACAATCCTCATTTTACAAAAAAATGTTTTAGAAAAATTGTAGTGTCTTTTTGAGCCTATTTCTCCTGGAATATGGTTGAAATTGGCCTATAAGATCAAATTAGATTATACACAGAAGCAAGAGATTTTCATCTTTTCATTCCATAGAAAGTCAAGTAAAACAACAAACATAGTTATTACTAAATCATCCCGAATTTCTAATAGTTAACAATGTATACATTTAATAGTTGTGAAAGATATCTCTTTCTAAAATAAATGCATTTTATTGGGGGGACTGCCTTTTAATCAGTTCCATTACGTGTTTCTTACATTAATCTTTAATATCAACACTTTTTCTTCTAACAGAGTAAGCTTTCTTTTACCAAGAAAACTATTAGAATTCAGACTAAAAATCAAACTTTTAAATGATGGCAAATGGGAACTCCTAATTTTTAGTTCCCTAATTATTTATTAGCAGCTAAAGTTAAAATTTATTTTCTAATTCTTTAAATTTCAGTTTCTTCCCCTAAAATGCCACTGTGAACAAATGATAAGCTAAGATGCTTGCACAATCCAACAGACATTGACAATGGAATACAGAAAACATATGAGCTGAAAAGTGAAAAAGTCTAGACAGAAAAAGTTGACCTTCTACGTGAACCACATGCTTTCCATCTATGTTGCTAATACCCCTCAAGTGTGTCCTTATACAACATGTGGACTTTCAGAAAAATCCAGAGACTCATGTACTTCAAGAGGCATAAAAACATATTTCAAGGTAGCCCTTTTAATTATAAAAAATGTTAACTGAAAAGGGAAATTTCCATAACTGAATTTTTATTTTATTTTGTTTTTTAAATTTTTTGTAGAGATAGGGTCTTGCTATATTGTCCAGGCAGGTCTTGAACTCCTGGCTTCAAGTTATCCTCCTGCCTTGGCCTCCCAAAGTGCTGAGATTACATCTGTGAGCCACTGTGCCTGGCTCTGTAACTGAATTTTGAAACTGAGTTTTTAAAAAATTATTTCTACCAAGAAAAAAAGCACCATAAAACTTTTAAGGAACTATATACAGAAGCATGTCCAATATAATCTGAACGTCTTGATTTTAATGTTTGAATCCAAATCCAGCACATATTTAACAACTCATTTGCTTTCCAACAAAGGAAAAAATATATTTTATCTTCTCAAATATAAGTGAATCAAAACTATATTTGGTTTTCATCAGTCAGAAGCATAACTGCCTTTTTTTTTATTTCAGCATATTATGGGGGTACAGATTTTAAGGTTTCAATAAAATAGCTGCCTTTAACTAAAACCAAATAAAGTAGAACATAGATGATACAGACTCCCTAAAATTAAAGCAAATGACAGCATATATGTATGTGAATACATGTGGGAAAGAAATATATATCTAATCTATAAGATAAAATGAATATGCATATTCTATTTATATAACAAAGGCTGAGGAACTTAAACTCCCAGATCATGTAAAACCTTGATAAAACTTTTTATCCACAAAATCCCTTGAAAATAGCTATTAGATGAAACAATAAAAACTTTTGTTCAGGTTTTAGCCCTTTTTATTGACCCTTTCTTCATGATTCTCTCTTAATGGATAAATTACATACTTTTTATACTTATAAACATCAGACTTTCAAGCCATATTACTATAGTCCCTAGAAACGATTTATTTCTTCAGCTCTTCATGCATGCCTGGGCTGGTGTAGGCATTAGCTTGGAGCTCTTCTGTTTCCTCCTTTAAAACAAATTCAGCAGGCACTGTGTGTTCCTGTACTGTGGATTTCACGGCATGAGCTGCATAGTTAAGGCTGGTATTTTCACTCCAATGCCAGTGACCTGAGAAGGGGTTATAAAGCATTCCTGCCACAGTTTGAACTGACAGACCATCTGAAAAAAATATCAGAAAGAGTAGATTTAATAAATATTTACCTTCCAAGTGCCAAGAGTCTCATGCAACTTTCCATATTAAAAAGGGATTTCTAACGTAAGGGGCAAAAATACTTTGCAACCATGTATGAATCACACTTTACTGCAGATTAGAACACATACTCTAAAGCAGACTGCCTGTATTCAAATCCCAGATCTGGCACCTATTAGATGGTGTGTGGAGCAAGTCATTCAACCTTTCTAAATCTCAGTTTTCCCACATGTACGGAACATATATCATAGAGCTGTTAGAATTAGATGAGCTATGTATGTAAAGGAGCACAGTGCTTGGAATTTGGTAAGTACTCAGTAAATATTAGCTGTTATTAGAAAATACCTGCCAATAAGAGATTGTCCCCATAAAGCATCTTTAAAATATTTTTCTACTCTATTTTCAACAAAGTTATTCACAAAAATCTTTAGAACTTACTACATTGCTATAGACTGAAAAGTAAAATCAAGTTTATTGATAGACTCTTCTAGGACCAAAAGCATGAGAAACACAGGAGTCTAAGTATTCAACAGGAATACCAAATGCCAAATAAATGATTTGACAAACACTATACTTGACAGGAATTCAACACACAAGTTGAGTGCCATGTATAAAGCAAAGTTAGGCAGTATAGAGAGTATAAAAAGTAGACATAGAGTTTTCCCTTCAAGGAGCTTACAGGCCATAAAAAGATGAAAAAACACCAAAATAACCACAATATAAGGTATGCTGCAAGTTAAATAAAATACATAAAAAGTGACTTGGAAGTTCAAAATATATCTGAGTGTAGAAGAATCAGGAAAAAGAGGTAAGCTGCTACAAGCACAGCTTAATAGGGCAAATTGAGGATATATAAATAATAGACATTGTTGTACCTCATCCTGAAACAAGTGAGAACTAAATAGCCAGAAAGTATTCATTGATCATCTGTTACTTGCTTGGCCCTGGGTTAGGTGCTACTACAGGTGAGAGAGAAGTGGTATCTACTACTTAACCGACTTTAAGGAGTTTATGACCTAGTTTAGGAGAAAAACACAGCATCCAAAAAAATAGTGGCCTATTTAATTAAGTGCTAGGTTGTATGATTAATAAATTATAGGTGCATTAAAAGTTCACTCAGGCCTTGAAAACTGGAAAAAATACTCTTAATACTTACTTGGTTCTAGAATGCTCTCTAGTTTTTCAGGTGAAACAAACTTCTCCCAAGTATGAGTACCTTTTGGTACAATACCGGCAATTTGCTCTGAAAAAACAATTCCCAAGGCATAGGACAGTTGTGTTTTGTTGATTGTAGTAATGAATAAAGAGCCACCGGGCTAGAGGAAGTAAAATTGTATAGAAGAAGAATTTAAAGGTTATGTGTGTAACATTTAAGCTTGGCTTCCTCCTCCTTCCTCTCAAATATTTTAAGTGTAGTTAAGATATCTAAGTATGAATAAAATATAATTTACCAAAACAGTATTGTTTTCTCTTGGGAAATTCATTATTAAAGGCATTTCAGATGCACTCACTAAGTTTATACAACAGTACTTACAACTCTTAAAATCATAATTACTATGACTTATATCATACATATTCTTTTGTACATATCAAATGCTTTATAATAAAAATATGGAAATGAGATCAGGCTGTTTTTCCTTGTCACATGTCCACATTCACGTCCTTACCTATGTCAGCATGGTTTTCTCTTCAAGTGCTGAGCCTGTCTAACTTGTTTGGTAAGATACAGAGCTATACATCTTGGGCAGGGAGCACTGTCAATAAGTGTTTTCTGACAAAAGCATCAACAATTAAAGTTTGAAAGTTTTTGCTTTGGTTTTGATTTCATTTGTATAAAGAACATAAAGATATCAAGATAAGCACTTAGATAAATGCAAACCATTTATGGGACCTTAAGTCTGCCATGTTTTAGTGACTACAATTTATGGTGTCTCCTATGTTTAGTCACACAAACAGCAAGAACATTAATATTCCCTCCTTCTTCTATACATTCTCATTAGCCTGATAACAATGCCAAAGATTCCCTCCAAAACAATCATATTACCATAGACACAGAGAAAGAGAGAAAGAAGTGGACGAGAAATAGATAATATATCTCAAATACCACCCTGAACCAAAAAGAAAAAAGGAAGCCCCGAAATATTGGAGTGTGCCCTTAAATTAAAAACAGAAATATTATATACTATATCATCACACATTCTGGCTTTTCTCTGTAAAACTCTGGTATTCTAAAATATTTTATTAAGAATCACTTATGAATATCTAATCTGTCTTCTACCAAATCCTACTCTATGGAAATGGTGGTAAGCAAATGATCTTTTTTTTTTTTTAATATAGGCTTTCTATTTTCCATTAAAGTAAAATTTAGTTTTAAAATCACAATGCCAGCATTCTTCATATGTGTCAAAGAACCTCCATGTATACATACGGACTGACACACCATACAAAAACTAATAATTTAGGAGTTTTACTTGGAAAATAAGAGACAAGCCTAATAAAACTCCATTTAGGAGAAAACACCGAGAAACTGTCACATATTGAAGGAGACCAAGGAAACATAGCAACTAAATACCTGTTAGCCTGGATTGGATCCTGTAACAGAAAAATGATGCTAGCAAAAAATTAGTGAAATTTAAAAAGCTCTAAAAATAAATAAATAAAAATAAAAAGCTTTGTAGTACAGTTATTAAGTATAATGCCAATGCTAACCTCTTAGTTTTGAGAACTGTACCAGGGGATATGTACAAGGCTAGGACTAGGTTGAGAAAGGTGAGGTTCCTAGGGCACAGAATGGAAATAGGCAACCCCTTTCAGGCTGAGCAGGTACAGGGTTGGCATCTAAGAGGGACTGTCTCCTGCAATTTTCTGCCCTGGGTGACTCACTTCACTCATCCTAGTTCCTACCTCTATGATGTGAAATGTTAACATAAGGGTAAAAGGCACAACTCTTCTATAAGTTTAAAATTACTTAAAATTGTTTTAAAAAGCTCTATTTAGCCAGGCACAGTCGCTCACTCCAGTAATCCCAGCACTTTGTGAAGCCGAGGCAGAAGGAATGCTTGAGGCCAGGAGTTCCAGACCAGCTTGGGCAACATAACGAGACAAAATTTTTTGTCTCTACAAAAAATTTTCTTAAATGAGCTGGGTGTGGTGGCGCATTCCTGTAGTCCTAGATGCTCAGGAGGCTGAGCCAGGAGGATCCCTTGAGCCTGGGAGTTGGAGGTTGCAGTAAGCTATGATCATGCCACTGCACTCTAGCCTGGGGGACAAAGTAAAACCCTATTTCAAAAAATAAATACATAAAAGTAAAATTAAAAGCTCTACTTAGATAAGAGCTAAGTATTTCATTCCTTTAGCTTTTGACCTTAGGTTGTTACCTCCTGAATATATAAACAACAGATTCAATATAGTAATAATATTACTATAGCGATATTTATTAAAAGAAAATTAGAACTACATTCAGAGGACTAGTAAGTCTGTGGTAAATTATACTGTATAAGCATAAGTAATGGGAAGAACTAGACTTAGAATCAAATGATCTAGTCTTAAGCCTTAGTTAAGAGCGTAGTGACTTTTGACGTAAAGGTACAGTGATCTTTGACATCTCACAAATCCTGAATCCTCATAGGTCAAAGGAGGTGATAATAATCCTTTCCTTCTTCACTTAGTTGTAGGTAAGATCAAATGTATGAAGTATTCTTTCATAAGCTGAAAACTGTTATACATGTGTCACATACAGAATTACTTATGCTATTTAAATAAATTTAGGCTAATAATTGTTTCTATTGATTTTTAACTATTAATCCATATCATTTTCTTGGTAATTGTCCTTCAATGTCTATTAAGTATTTAATCTAGACTGTACCAATGGAAAAATACTGCTATAAATGTATGGTTTTTCAATGCTCAGAACCAACATTTTTTAAGACCTCTGGACATCAAGTTACTAATAGGACACTGGAAAACCCTGGTATCGAGGGCAAGCGGAGGGGCAGGAGTGATCTTCAGTAGAGATGCTGTCCCCTAATATTGGCCTCTTGGTTTCTTTTTTGTTATACCTTCCTGCTGGACTGTTAACGTATTGTGGAATATTTTATTACGATGATGGATACATACACACCCTCAGAAGAAAAAAACCCAAGAAGTGATATCCGTAAGTCTTACTTTTAACACTTGACAGCAGCACTGTAAAAATGTTTCTAGATCAAGCACATGTTCTACAACTTCAGAAGCTACAACGGCATCAAATGTTTCTGCAGTGTCTTCCACAATCTCTTCAAGAGAACATGCTCTGTACTCTATCCTCTGATCCAGGACTGGATCAAATGATTTATGGCACTGTGCTGTTTTAATGTTCTCATCCACAGGATCAATTCCAACAACTGAAGCCCCAAGCCGCCCTAGAGGCTAAGGGCATAAAAAAACTGTTATTCTCAGGAAGAAAACAGAACACATTAACAATAAAAAGCTTATCAAAAAGGAAAAAAACAACAAATAACAAAAATAAAAAAGATTAACCATGAGGTGATAATTACTGGTGAACATTTATGGGTGCGTGGAAATTCATGTACCATTTTCTCTAGTTTGTATACATTTGAAATTTTCCATACTCAAAAGTTTAAAAGCGAGAACAATCAAAACAACAACAAAAACAGAGAGAACCATTTGAGGCTGGGTGTGGTGGTTCAAACCTGTAATCCCAGAGCTTTGGGAGGCTGAGGTGGGAGGATGGCTTGGGCAACATAGTGAGAACCCATCTCTACATAAAAACATATTTTAAAAAATGAGCTGGGTGTGGTGGTGCACACCTGTAGTCCCAACTACTTGGGAAGCTGAGACAGGAGGATGACATGAGCCCTGGTATTCAAGACTGCAGTGAGCCATGATCATGCCACTGTACTCCAGCCTGGGCAACAGAGTGAGACCCTATCTCAAAAAAAAAAAAAAAAAATTCAAAAAACGAAAACCACTTGATAACAGTGAAAAAGGTTTTGTTTATATGCTGTAGGTACATTTACATGCATATTGTACAGTATTAACATATTTAAAGTACAATAAATGTCACATGCCATTGGAAAAACTCAGCAATCATTTCTGAAATAGTCAGATTTTCTAAAGAACAACTTTTTTCTCAACAGTTTTTTTTCTGTGACTAACTAGAAATGATTCTTTATAATTAATTATTCCCTGTTTTTATATTTGGTCACTTCTAATGATATGCCCAAGTTTTTAAACATAGGCTTAATTTTAATAAAAACTTGCATAGTGTTTATATTAAACAGGTTAGTCAATAAACTAAAAGTATAAATCACATTACTTTAGAGATGTAAGAATCTACAGTAACACACAGAGCAGATTATAAAACACACATGGTAAAATCTTGCTCATTTACAATTTGTACACCACATAGCCTTGACTCTGGGGGATGTATTTACACGTTTTAAGTTTTCTGAAATTTTATAATTGATGTCAAAAGAAATTAGCCCAGTATCAGGTAAAGAATACAAGTTTTGTGCATGTGGGAACTTGTGTATCGAAGGCTTCTTCGCCTCTCTGTCAACTTGGTTGAGGTGTGGACCTTGATGGTCCCACGTCCCACTGAATCTTAGCTTACATTTGTACCCCATACTGTTGCTTAAAATATCTTTCAAAGATGAAATTATGACGCAGTATTGAAAAAAAAAACTCCTGTGTTGACAGAGGAATACAAAATAGAGCTTCAAGGCATGACTTCACCATAAGCTAACGCACACAGTCTTCACAGAAGAATGACTACTCTGCCAAGTATGCTAAAGCGCCTAGGAAGGGAAGAGCCCTACGAGCAGGAGAAACTGTTAGGTCTGTTGTTGAAACAAGGGCAAAAGGACAGCCTATCCATGTATTTAAACCGGTGGATTATTGCCTCATTTCTTGGGACAGAGGAGATCACAAAATTTTCAAGGTTATTTGAATAACCCATGCCCCATTTTTATTTAAAAAGAAATCTTATAATTTTCTAAAATTTTTATTTTTTTAAAAAAGTGTTATATCTGTAGTCATGAAAAGATTAAAATCAACATTATGCATTTCTCTTTTTTAAGTGAATAATATTATTTGTTGAAAGGATAAATGAGGCACAAGCCCATCTCTTAATTTTTTTTCCCCCAGTTAAAAATGGCAGGAAAGCTATAAGTCACTTACTTCAGTTAACAATCCACCACCACAGCCAACATCAAGAATCTTCATCCCAGACAAAGGTTTTCCTGGCTGGTGATTAGCAACTGTTTTCAAAAGATTGTCTCTTTTTTTAAAAAAAATCAAAACATATAAAAACAAATGATTAATTTTATCGATGAAAAATCTTAAAAGTATACAATTTTTGAGGAAATATTAACTCCCATTTTAAATGAATTATAGATTTTTTGATAAACAGATCTTTTATTCTCAGCATTAAATGACTTACATTTAATTTATAAGACATTTTCAACATCGAAAGCAGGAGGCTGAGTACGCTCCGAAATAATCTAATAGTAATTATAACTTAATTACTGCTTTAGTAAAATATAAAGAAAAAAGTTCAAAATAATCTAATTTAGATTAACCTAATTTTATTTGCTTGAGATATCATGACACCTGAGACCCCTATTGGCTATGTTGTCGGTACTTGCTAGACCCATTTCATGTCAGTAACAAATAGGTTATTTTACAGGGTTTAGAAAAAGCAGATGGGAGACCTACATTTTCCGAATTTGTTTATATTCCCTTCTGAATTGGGTATCTTTTAATTTTCTGTTAGTGGTGTTTTCATGTATGAACATGTAAACAAGTATCTAAATCAAGTAAACTTAATTCTAAGATAATCACAGTAATGAAACCATCTATATTAAAGTAGCCACAAGGCAAGAACTGTGGTAAAAGTCTGATATCTATAGAGGTATGGACATAGCTAAAAGTTAACCAGCCATTGTTTCCTAGCTTGACTTCCTATAACTGCTCACATATAAGGAAGACTGCTATTCATAGAGCAAGCCACAATATACTGACTCAAACTTAAGCAAAGTGATGGCCTGTAGGCATGACTTAACCTTTGCCTTGCATGGCCTTAGGTCCTATTTGGAATTCAGTATCTTATTGGGATAAAAGTTTGTTTTGCCAGTCTTATGATCTCTATTTTAACATTAGTGCTGGTTAGTTGTCGTGTCTCAACTCCAAAAGGGAGGGAGTATAAAGAAGAATGTCCAACCTCTCTTCTCTTACCTCTCTTCTCTTCATGGCCAGGAACTCAATTTTAAGGTTTATCCAGGGTCCTCTTCACTAAGAGGGGGTCTGTTCAGAAGTTGGGTGGGAGCAGGCGGAGCCTTAGGCTTTTATTTTTAGTTTACATGATAATTTGCCTTTCTTTTTAAAAATTTTTTTTATTTTAAATTATTATGGGTACATAACTATTGTATATATTTTACAGGGTACATGTGAGGTTTTGATTCAGACATACTATGTGTAATAACCAAATCAGGAAAATTGGAGTATCCATGACCTCAAGCATTTATCATTTTTTTGTGTTAGGAACATTCCAGTTTCACTCTTTTAGTTAACTTATTGTTGACTATAGTTACTTTGTTGTGCTATTAGATATTGAGCATTCTAACCAACTATATTTTTTGCACCCATTAACCACCTCCACTTTATCCTCCTATTCCCACTACCCTTCTTAGCCTCTGGTAACCATCATTCTCTATCTTCATGAAAGCAACTGCTTTAATTTTTAGCTTCCACATATTAGTGAGGACATGCAGAATTTGTCTTTCTGTGCTTGGCTTATTTAACTTAACATAATGTTCTCCCCTTCCATCCATGGGTTGCAAATGACAAGATTTCATTCTGTTTTATGGATGAATAATATTCCATTGTGTATATGTACCACATTCTTTTTATCCCTTCCTCTGATAATGTGCATTTCTAATGAGTTCCTAGGTGATACTGATGTCACTGGTGCAAGGCTTACACTTTGAGAACCAGTGTTCTAGTGTAATAGAACAACATTCCTGTTTTTCTCTGCGTTAGTGGTTCAGCAATCCATAAATTCAGTGGTATTAAAAATATGCCAATATTTCCCTTTTTGCTACACTGATTCTGGATGAACTATAATAGCAACAATCAATCAGGGAGGGCAGAGTCTGAGTCTGATATTCTGTATCAACTACACTGCCTTGCCCATATTGGCTGCTCAAAATGTTTGATGAATAAATAAACGAACAAATGAACAATTTCTTAAAGGTAAGACCAATGAACTCTTGCCTTTATCTATTTCCCACAGCAACCTATAAATTCCTGAAGCACATGGATTATGTTTCATTCATCTTAGTATCTTTTACAGTCGAGCTCTTGAGTACAAGGTAAATTCTCAAAAAATATTTGTTGACTCAAACAATCTCAGCAGTATGCCCTTTACCAGAACGCTTAAAAGTCAACAAGGCCACTGCAGGTCAGTAGCTATAAAATAGCCTTGGTGCCATAGGACCCTAGTTTCCTTTCACAAGGATTTAATTCTAATTAACTTTGTAATATCCCAAAAATGCTTCAAGTTAAGTTATGAAAGCAGCCTAGACCTTGGGTAATGTTATTAAAATGAATGGTTTCAAACAGTGGACACTGAAGAGACTCTCCCTAATTTTCAAAGCAAACTTAAAATTCAGCATTTTGAACCTAGGTGTAATCCACGAGAAAAAATGAATGCAAAAGATGAAAGTTACATTTTAAAAGACTTAGAGTTTCTGGAATGTTACCTAATAAATGGCACCCTCAGATCATTCATAGAATGAAGAGGCGCGTATACTCCTTGCTCATCCCACCATTTGTGAGCCAGGGCCAGGAAGGTTTTGACCTCATTGCTGTCCACAGTGTTTTGTGAAGTGCTGTACAGTCTTGTCCAAGGGGACCTAAGAGATGAAAACAAAGAGGCAAACAAATACTGTTGTTTAAAAAAATGTAACATGGGACATATTATGTATAAAGATATTTAATTTATTAGATTTTAAATACATATATTTCTCGATTTTGATGCTTTAAAACTAAGTTTTCTTATAATCACACTGCTTATAAACACATATATTCACAAATGAAATAAAACTCATTTGCTTTTGAAGTAAGTTTCAACTCAAAATTAGACTTTATAAAACTTGGCTCTCTGGGTCACATCTAATAATATTAATAATTACAATTTACTGAGTGCTTACTAAATGCCAGGCACTGTTTAAGAACTCCACATATATCATCTCATTTAATTCTTCCAACAACTCTACAGGGGGGCTACTATTATTATCCCTACTTTATAGATAAGAAAAGAGAGGCTTAGAGAAATTAAGTAAATGGTGGAGCCAGGATTAGAACCCAGGTGCCTCCATCTTCTTCACTCCATTTCTACTACTATATCCTAGTCCAAGCTTCCATTATCTCTTGCCTGAACTATTGTCCTAGCTTTCTAATTAGACTGGCTGCTTCCTACATCAAACCCTTCTAATCTGTTCTCCATGATGCATTCAGATGCATTGTTCCAAAATACAAATATCGTCATGTTACTTTCCTGCATAAAATGCTTTCATGGCTTCCCAGTGCCATTAGAACAAAAGACCAAAATCCTTAGCATGACTTACAAAGCTCTGAATTATTCTGTCCCTAGTTTCCTCTCTTTCCAAACTCACTTCCTACTACTTTCCTCATCCTTCTCACTCTAGCCTTCTTTCTTCTTTTCTTTGAACTGGCCATGCTTGCTCTTTTCTCAGGCACTTTGTATATGTTGTTCCCTCTGCCTGAAACATTCTTCCACAAACACCTAATTCATGCCTTTTCGTCCTTCAGATCTTAGTTTAAATTCAGTGGGGTTTTTTTGTTTTGTTTTTTTGCTGTTGTTTGTTTTTTGACAGTGTCTCGCTCTGTCACCCAGGCTAGAGTGCGGTGGCACGATCACAAGCTCACTGCAACCTCAAACTCCTGAGCTTAAGTGATCTTCTCACCTTGGTCTATCAAGTAGTTAGGACTACAGGTGCACACCACCATGCCAGGCTAATTAAAAAAAAATTTTTTTTTTTTGTAGAAATGGGGTCTCACTATTGCCCAGGTTGGTCTCAAACTCCTGGGCTCAAACAATCCTCCCACTTGAACTCCCAAAGTGCTAGGATTAGTATAGGTGTGAGCCATTGCACCTGGCCAAATGGAATATTATCTAAGAAGTCTTCTCTGATCCTCAAAACTGGGTCATATTCTGCTATTTTAAATCCTGTATCACTTTATACTTCTTCATGGGCTGTGTGATTATTTGATCATGTCTGTCTCCCTACTAGACCACAAGCACTATGAAGGCAAGGCATGGACTGTCTTGCCTACCATTTTATTCCTAGTGACTAGTACAGTTCCTGGAACATAGTTGGTGCTCAGGAAACAATTGTCAAATGAATAATCTCAAAGAAAAACCCCCGAAAAGTATATAATTTGCCTAAAAAAATTTTTTTAATCAAATGAGATCCAATAGAGACTAAGGGGTTAAATAGACACTACACTGAGTTCCAAGTCATCATATAGTATAGGAAAATCCTCCAAAGGTCTTCTTGGGTAAAAGATAAGAAGGATGTTAAGTTAGAAAAAAGGTAATGCCATTCAAATTTTTACTACATTTTTCTTGGCTAATATGGAGAGTATATTCTATATTCATTACTTTGTATTCTTTTAAGATTCAACTATTCTTTAACATTATCTTAGGAATATTAGCCTTCTTTTCCATGCCTCAGTAATTAAAGACTCATTTAAAATAGATAACAGTAGGTGGTTGCTCATTTGACTAAGAATGATTTCATATACACCCAATCTCAAAGCTCATTTACAAGAAGTGGGAGCATGCACTTAGAGCTCAAGTCTTAATTAATGCTATGCAATATTTTTCACAAGATTAGAAATTGGTTTATAACATACAAAAAGACACTACTTTGGTTCAATTTTACTACCAAGAGCGTATACTTATCCACCTTATCATATGTATGTTAAACCTAAATCATTTATGATTTTAAGCACTGCACTATTTGTGTCGTCATAAGAATACTATGGGAAAGTAAAAATACTTTTCCAAGTAATACAGTCTTATATTAAAAATAAAAGCTATCTCTGAATCTGGATGAAGGTTTTGTACTGGTTGCATACTGTATTACTCTATCACCTTTTCTGTGGGCTTGAAATTTTCCAAATTTAAAAATTGTTAGAAATAAATTAGTTATGAATATTTACATAAATAAAAGCTACTTTAATCAAACCACATGAGCTATTACATACTAACTGGGTTTATTAAACATAATCAATACTAAACTATTGCATATAATTATATAACTATTTGCTACAATAATAAATAAACTCACCTGTAACTTTTCATTCTATTCAAACAGGAAAAGGCTGTCCTATAGGATTTGAACCACATGGTTCTATATTCATTGAAAACTCCTGGTTTAATTTCCAGAGACCAATTGAGCTGATTCTTTGAATAAACTGAAAAGAAAATTAATGTCTAGAGAAAAGCGTTGTACAGTAAGAATCCCTGATATACATGTAATTGAAGAAATTTTATACAGTAATCTTATGTTACATTGCAATTGATAAGCAAAGGTGTTTTGGTTTTTTTTTTACTTAATTTTGGATTTAACTTTAAAAATAAAATAAAGGTCTTACATTCTGTCATCTAATTCTAACCCAGACATTTCTGAAATTATAATTAGCAAAAACAAGTAATGCACATATATAAGCTTTCATGCTATTAGTTTTTGCATTCATATTATGCTGAAAAAAATTACAAAGAATGATATTCAAATGTAAGTTGTGGCCAGGCACTGGTGGCTCACGCCTGTAATCCTAGCACTCTGGGAGGCCGAGGTGGGCGGATTGCTTGAGGTCAGGAGTTCGAAACCAGCCTGAGCAAGACCCTGTCTCTACTATAAATAGAAAAGAAACTAATTGTCAAAGCTAGTTCAAATTCTGTCAATTCCACGTTAGCTATATGTAATGGATTTTTACATATGGTTTACAATTTTTACATATGCTTTACATATGCTTTTTCAATACCCTTTATGGGGGAAAAATGTGTGTATATATAACATCCTAAAATAAGCATTCGAAAAGTCTTATGTTCAAACTTATATATGGGACCTGCTTTATGAACCAGTTGCTCTGCTGCAGAATACTCAGTTTAATAAACATTTAGACATAGTAGACTTTGGAGCAAAGAAAGTTACCAGAAATAAAGAGGGACATTATATCATGATAAAAGGAACACTCCACCAAGGAGACAAAGCAATCCTAAATGTGTATGCACCAAACACTGGATTTCAAAACACATGAAGCAAAAATTGACAGAACTGAAAGGAGGAATAAACACATCAGCAACTGTAGTTGGGGACTTCAACATCCCTCTCTCAGTAATTGATAGAACCATTAGATAGAAAATCAGCAAGACTACAAAAGAACTGAACACCACCACCGACCAATAAAATCTACTTGAAATTTATCAAACACTCCACCCAACCAACAATAGAATATATATTCTTTCAAGCATGCATGGAGCATGACTAAAGATAAACCTCATCTTCACAACTTTAAGTGAGATCATACAAAGTATGTTTTTGACAGTAACAGAAACAAACTAGAAATAAATAATAGAAAAATAACATAAAACAAAACACTTGGAAATTAAACCATACACTTCTAAACAATCCATAAGTCAAAGACAACATCTCAGGGAAATATAAAACAAAACAAAACAAAACACTGAACTAAATGAAAAAAAAAATACAATATATAAAAATATGTGGATATAGGTAAAACAATACTTAGAGGGCAATTTATAGCACTAAATAGTCACTGGAAAACAAGAAAGGTCTGAAATCAATAATCTAAGTTTCTACCTCAAGAACTAGAAAAAGGAGAACAAAATAAACACAAAACAAGCATAAAGCAGAAAATATTAAAGATAAAAACAGAAATCAATGAGATTAGCTTCTGAATATAGAGAAATTTCATTTAAGGAGTAGGTCCTTAAATGATGTAGGTCCTTATAGATGTATCAAAATATTACAAATTCTAAACTGAGACTTAATCCTCAAATGTGTTTTACTTGTTCTTTAATAATCTGTCGACAAATATCAAACTATAATATAAGTAATAGATTGTTATTTTCCCACTGTGTAAATCTAATGTGAAAATGTATTCTCTAAAAAGAAAAATTTTTTAAAATGTTGTAAAATATATATTCTACTCTTTTTTTGTGTTAGGAAAAACAAAAGAAATCAATGACATTGAAAACAAAACAAAACCAGAGAAAATAATTCAGACCTAAATTTAATTAATTGAAAAGATGAATAAAAGTGATAAACCTCTAGCAAGGCTAATAAAGACAGGGAAGACCTAAATTACCAATATCAGGAATTAAAGAAGGGATATCACTGCAGACCTGACAGACATTAAAAGGGAATAAGGGAATACTACAAACAACTACACACATAGAAATTCTCTAACTCAGACAAAATGGACTAATTCCATAAAAACCATAAACTATCAAAATTCATACAACATGAAATAACCCAAATTGTCTATAACTACTAAAGAAATTGAATTAATAACTAAAAGCCTTCTGAAAAATAAATCTCCAGGCGCAGAAGGCTTCATTTGTGAATTCTACTAGATACTTAAAGAAGAAATAAAAACCAATTCTACCCAACCTCTTCCATAAAATAGAAGGTTAAGTAACGAATACTTCCCAACCCACTTTTTTTTTTGTTTTTGGAGATAGGGTTGTTGCCCAGGGTGGAGTACAGTGATCATAGTTGACTACAGCCTCAAACTCCTGGGCTCAAGTGATCCTTCGGCCTCAGCTTCCCAAAAGGCTGGTATTAGAGGTGTGAGCCACCATGCCTGGCATCCCAACCCATTTTATAAAGCCAACATTACTCTGATACAAAAACCAAAGACAGTACAGCAGAGAAGAATATGGACCAATTTCTCTCATTAACAGACAAAAAAAAATTCTCAACACATATTAGCAAATAGAATTCAGCAATATATTAAAAAGAATAATATAACACAACCAAGTAGGATTTATTCCAGGTATGCAACACTAGTTCAATATTAGAACACCAATCAATATAATTGACCATATTAACAATCAAAAGAAGAAAAACCATATAATCATACTGATTGTTGAAAACAAAGCATTTAACATGATCCATACTCACTATAATCAAAACCTCTTAGCAACGTAAGAATAGAAGGGAAATTATTTTACAAAGCATCTATAAAAACCGTATGGTTCATATAGTACTTAATGGTGAAGGACTAAGTGCTTTCCCCCTAAAATCAGAAACAAGGTAAGCATTTCCATTCTCAACACTCATTCAACATAGTACCAAAAGTCCTATCAGGGCAATAAGATAAGAAAAGGAAGTAAAAAGCATACAGAATGGAAAGGAAGAAATTAAACTGTCCCTATTGTATATGTAGAAAATTCAAAGGAATTGTAAAAAAAAGTTCCTGGGTCCAGGCATGGAGGCTCACACCTGTAATCCCAGCACTTTGGAAGGTTGCAGTGGGAGGATCACTTCAGGCCAGGGCTTCTAGATAAACCTGGGCAACATAGAGAGACCCTGTCTCTATAAAAAGTTAAAAAAAAAAAAAAAATAGCTGGGCATGTCCCAGGAGTAAAAGCGGCAGCAGGAGCAGCAATGTGCATGGGGAAGGCTGACATTAGTCCAGTCAGAGGAGGTACATGAGCTGTTGGAGGTGCTGTCATGGCCAGGGGGGCCAGCACCTGGGCTGCTGGCACTCTGTGACAGGAGTTACTATTAATAAATAAGGAGTCTGCATTGATACTACTACTTTTTTCTTTTCTGAGAACCCTTGCAAAGGAAGCTGGAGACAGGTGGCCTACAGAGATAAATTGGGAATTTGGAGCACCATAACATGGTGCATGGTGTGGGAAGTGAAATCGGATGCCTAATGCAGAACAGAAACTCCTGCCACTAATGGACAAGAGAGCTTGAGGAATGAATGATTCATTGGAGTCACTGCAGTATAACGAGAATTTGTCATCCTCCTCTGGATGTAACTTCTGTGATGAGCACATGGAGTCTGATGACCTTCCTGAACTTCAGGCTGTTCAGAGTGATCCTACCCAATCTGCCATGTACCAGCTAAGTTCACATGTTTCACATCAGGAATATCTAAGATTATCTTGGAACCAAAACACCTCAGACATATCAGAAAATACTTACTGTAAAAATGATGTAGATTGGCTAACAGAATTAGCAAATATCATCACTAGTCCACAAAGTCCACTTATGCAGTGTTCATTTTATTTAATACAACAGATCATCTCCTGTACACATCATAGCTACTAGCAAAGGTTTACATTCCTATGCATGCCCTTCACCAGTGCCCTCTTCTTCAAAGAGTGAGCCAGCCTTCCCTCATCACCACTGGAAGGAGGAAACACCAGTAAGACATGAAAGGGCAAAGCGTGAGTCAGAATCTGGCACTTTCTGCATGTTCTGCCAATCAGATGATGATGATTTGAGATGGTGCAATTCCTGGCCTTCTGACTGGCACTTTTTTGATGGGAAGCAATAAGGAATGGCAGGATATTGAAGATTTTGCTAGAGCTGAAAGCTGTGATGAGGAAGATCTTCAAATGAGCACTGGCAAGGGCTATGGTTCTCATGGTCTAAAGTTATCACATGAAGAAAGTGTACCATTTGGTGAGTGAGTACTGAAGGTGCCTTTTGATCCTGGTACAGTAGAAAATGGTTTACTTACTGTATAGTGAAAGCTGGACCACCCTTTCTATGTTAAAAATAAAGGGTGGTCATCATTTTATCCACACTTGACTGTGGTATAGCATGGCATTCCATGTTATGAAATTCATATTGGAGATGCATGTCTACCTCCTGGACACCCTGATGCCGTTAATTTTGATGATTCAGATGATTTTGATACATATAAAAAAGCTGTGACTACACACCTATGGATTCTTCTGCAGTTTATATGTTAAGTATATGACTCATCATGTCATGCATCTTTGTCTTGTGGAGGACCTGGTGGTCAAGATTTTGCAAAATCTGGATTCAGTAAAATCTGTGGCTCACCTGGATCATCACAGCTCTCTTTGAATTCTTTATGTGCTAAAGCTGTCAAAAACCCACAGCTCAGGGACTGTGTCACTTTTCTTAGTAAGTGCTAAAGACCAATGAATATCTTCATGTTTTTTGCCAAAAAAATACATAGTTGAATACACTCAGATGTATTCAAGGGAAGATAACAGAGCCATAAGTGTGATCCTGGGTGACAGGTGGAAGAAAATGAAGAATGAAGAGAGAAAAATGTACCCATTAGAAGCAAAGGCTTTGGCTGAAGAACACAAACATTTAAATCCTGACTGTTGGAAAAGGAAAAGAACCAACTCAGGCTCACAACATTAAACTAGGATGTTTATGTTCTTAAGTCTGTATTTGCATAAACATTAACTCTTGATGGAAAGACTTAAGAAGACTAAGGTCTCAGTATTTGTCCTGAATTCGTGTGACCATATGACACCTATAGCATTGAGTCTTGAAATGATTTAATAATGAGTGAGGTTTTGCTTTCTCCATTAGAGCATTAAGCTAAAACTATCAACACTGTAAACCAAATTGCCTTATTTTTCTTCCAAACTTCATATATGTCTATCAGGTAATACAGGCTTGAAAACTGATATCCTGTGGTGCTAAAGTACAGTAGAAAGAAGTGTATCCATGTTTTATTTTAAATTGTATAAAAGGGGAAGTAAAAAATATGTAACTGCTGTTATACATTGGCTCCTTACTGCTTACTAATCTGTATTGTACACAAGATGGAATGAAGCAGAAGCTGGAACTAGGCCTCTCCTGAAGCAATCACCACATGGCTCAGCATCTGTGCCAAACTCAGGCAATCTTAGTGTGGCCAGTGCCAAGGGGCTACCAGAACATGTGGCAGGTGGCTGGTGTCAGTGTCCCAGTGTAAGAGCCACCTGCTTCAGTTCCCATGACATGTTGATTTTATGCACCAGGTGGCAGCAGCCATCCATTATTTCCAATGGAGACCTAGCCCAGGCCAAGATAAAGTTAGTTAATGGCATTGGGATGTAGTCACTGTAATGGTGTTGTAACCATTGACATGTAACAGTTGACATGATTGTATTTTTTAACTTTTGTGTTCTATGTCTCCTTGGACACGTATCTTAAATATATTCTGTCAATATATCTTTATGGTGGGGGCAGACTCTGCGCTTATTGAAGTGCAACACTTGCACTTTACTTTTCATTCAACTGTCTAAAATTAGAGCAAATACACAGCAATACAGCTGCTTTTGCTCTGAGCTACAATCATGGCTTTTCATCTTACCAAGTGGTAAGGAATCACAGCTGTAAAACTGATTTCATTATACTTCTTTGTGATGTTGCCCCTAAATTTTGCACATTATATTCTTGTATACTATTCAAATAAAATGGAAAAAAACAATTTTTAAACCCAGAATTCTACCAATTCCTTCTCTACCTTGAATCTATGTTCATCCTGGTATTTGAGATTTTTAACTTTTTATTCTTTTTTAGAGAAGGGGTGTCACACTATATTGCCCCAGGAGGTCTTGAACTCCTGGCCTCAAGTGATCATCCCAACTCAACCTCCAGAGTAGCTGGGATTACAGGTGTGACCCACCACACCCAGCAGTATCTGAAATTTTAAAGGAATGGGAAACATTTTTTTTTCATTTAATTTATTCAAAAGTCATTTATTCAGCACCTATCATGTTGACAATGAACAAGAGAGGCAATAGATCTTTACCCTGACAACACCTTATTTCCAGCAATTATCATTTATTGTCTGGATTACTCTAAGGCTTCCCTAAACCTACACTTGCCTGCCTCCAAAACAATTTCTACACAGCTGCCATGTGTTATTCCTTAAACATATTTTAGGTTTGATCATGTTCTTTTAGTAATTTCCAGTCCTCAGGATAAAGTCAACCTCTGAAGGTATACATGGCCTTTTATGAACTTGTAATGGCCCAAAAGATCTCTTGTCTCACCCCTTGCCACTCCTGCTCTTATCTTCTGTCCTCCATCCACACACTTTACTTTCCAAAGAACCCTGCAATTTCCTACAAACTTTCTCACAGATTCTCAAGCTGGTCCTTTGGCCTCTCCAGCTGTTTCTAAAACTGGCCAACTCCTTTAAGACATTTCTTTATCTACTTCTTTCAAGAAGTTTTCCTGATCCCAAACGTATTAGATGCTCCCTCTATGCTTACTCCTCAACATTTGGAAATAATTTTATTGTATCTTTTCTAAATTTCTGATTTAAAAAGACATACATGTTTACCAAAAAAAGTTCAGAAAAAGAAAAGTATATAAAGAATGATAAAATGATAGAAAATCACCTACTCCACCACAGGCAATCACCACTAAAATTTTGGTCTAGCTCTATTCTCTTTATATCTCCATCTGTATCTCCAAGTTCATAACACATACTGATTGCATCTTACTTAACACTATAACCTAATTATTTTCCCATGTAGATACAAAAATATTTAAATCATTTTTATTGGCTGTACTATTTTTCACTACATGAGTATTAACTAATAAACTCTATAGGTGGGCTGTTAAGAGTTCTCTTTTGCTCATTATATCCTTTTTTAAAAAATCATTCTTTTCCCTTGAGCATGCTCATTATATCCTGATCTTAGTTCTATCCTGACATTTTTTTAAAGAAATCCTTGAGGTATCATTCATTTTTAAATTTCCATTGACCATAACTGTGCCTGGCATACAGTATTTGCTAAATGAGTTTCATGTAAAGGATAAACTTAGCTTTCTGGTTAATACTGGGCGTTCGAAAATCAGACTGTCGTCTACAAGCACCAAGTGCAATGCATTACTTTCTTGATCTTATTTGCAAATAGTCTGCTGAATTAACCTATCAATCCAAAAGTAGTATAGCTGCCTTAAATTCTTTCTGAAAAAAGCAAGATAAGTGCAAACAAAATACAGATACCAAGCCATGAATAACTATGAAAGACGCATATCTTTCCCGCCCTGGCAAAGGAACAAAGCATGACCTTGAGACTCAGGGATACACAGAGCGGGGTCGCCAGCTCCTGGGGCAAGCAGCTCCACCAAAATGGGACAAGTCGCTGGGTACCTGGCGGCTGCTCGCGGCCTGCACTCTCCCCGGCCAGGATCACTAGTTCTCAGCTCTTTTTCCTGGCTTCTTGCGGAGGAGAGGACGGTAGTCCAGGCCGGGTATTCAACTGAGAACACAAGGGACAGGAGCCACGCCGCAGGTTTCCGCTGACTCTTGGCCAAGCCGAGACCACAACCCACCAGCCTCCCCCGCGCCTGCGCAGAACCGCCAGCTCCACGGTGAACTGCGTGCTAGGGACCTCCGTACACACACTCACCAGCCAAGGAGGTTAAACCAGGACACTTGGTTTGTGAACTCCTCCACCCAGGCACAAGCACTCCTAAAAAACGAGCCCCGGAGTAGCTCAGTTTGCCGCCTCCCCACATCGCGACTTCGTGGGACCGGATCCCACCCCTTTCCGGTCCCTCCGGCAAAAGATCCCCAACAGGAAGGTTCCGTCTGCAGCCGACTTTTGAGTATTATCCTGTGTGTGTGTGTGTGTGTGTGTGGCTATGGTTACTTTCACGCTCAACATCTAGCAAATTGTGGGACACAACATGTTGTCTTGTAAAAAAATAATGAATAAAAAAATTAAAATAAAAACATCTAGCAAATTGTGCAAGCCATGAAACTATAATGTTTCTATTACTATGAAAGACCTTGAAAATCCTCTATTAGGCCAATTCATATATAACACCCAAACCTCTTGGTCAAAGTAGACAACAATCATGCCGTGACTGTTTTGTGGTCTTTTATTCCTATATAGCTCTATTTCATATTTACCAGTTGTCTTCTCACAGACATTTATATTTCTGTAAAACATTGATCTTAACGCTTAGAATTACAAAAATACGGAAGCACTTCTTCCATAGGGGTAGTTTAACCTTTCAAGTCATTGAAATATCAGAGGGTTGAAAGTCCAAATTTAAAATTTATTTTCTGCAAGTGACCTAATATACTGGACAATGTATACATTATGTAGCAGGAGACTGTTACCACTCAGTCTAGGCAAACTTCATTTAGAGTTAGGACCAGTGACCAGGAACATTTTACTTCTAAATGTGCAAAAAGCCTTTCCTTGGGTAAGAACAATGATAAATCTCCAATAATGAAGACAAAAATTCATTTTATATTTTCAACGGGCAGGGTCAAATTGGTAAAGCTCTCTTCGAATTAGTGAAATTTACTACTCAGGAATGGTCTTTCATTTATGGCTCCTTCACTAAAATATTGACCTCCTCTCCTAAGAATGGTTGCAGACTTTTCAGTTGCTATGTCCTCTTCAGAGCTCCTCTCTCCTTAGATACATGATCATCTCTTCAAATGACGGCAGAAAGCTCTGCACAAAAGAAAATTTAGTATTTGTTGGAGTAACAGATCCAAGGAAAAAGCAAAATCCAAGTATGATTAAATAAAGTTCTAAGAGCTTTATTTAAATGTACTTTCTTTGAACGTACCACACTTCACTCGGCTTCAGAGCCTTCTCACTTCATTTTCAGTTCAACAAGAAAAAGGAATCAGTGCCTGAACATTGACAGGCAGCAAAGGCCTTTAACCTCTAGAACTAGTTTGACTCAGTTACGCAAAACCAATTCATAGTACTTTTCCCTATAAACATCAACAAAGGGTTTTTCCAGTGACCCTTAATTAAAACTGAGCTATGTTGTATAGTTTTGTTGGCTGTAATGCAGTATATGGCCATTGTTGGAGATTATTTCCCAGTCTACTGCTATAGTCTTACCCATAAAGGTGTTGTAAACTAGACTCTACATATTTATTTTGCTATAAACTTAAGTAATCTTATCATAACTATCATAATCAGAATGTGGCAGATTTAACCAATGTGTGTTTACAAAAACTTCTATGGATATCTGATAAACCTTTATAGTATAAATATTACTATAAATCACATGTGTGCTATTTTAAGAGCGAATTAAAAACCCACTTTCTCTTTTAGATTTCAGACATTACAACCAATTCTACTTAAAACCAAAGAACTTAAGGGCTAGACATGCCCAAGACTTTCAAGATAAATTCCTCCCTTATACAGCTGAAGAACTCAAGACCCATAGTGATTTAGGCATTTGCCTAAGACACATCAAGTAGCAGAGCCAGGTCAATCCAATACACTTCCACATAAACTATACAGTCACGCGTCACTCAATGACTGGGGCTATATTCTGAGAAACATGTTTTTAGGCAATTCTGTTGTAGTGCGAACATCACAGAGTGTACTTACACAAACCTAGATGATTACTATGCACCTATGCTAGAGTATATAGCCTAATGCTCCTAGGATACAAACCTGTACAGCATGTTACTTGTACTAAATACTGTAGACAACTGTAACACAATATTAAATATTTGTGTACCTAAACATAGAAAAGGTACGGTAAAAATACCATATGATAATCTTATGGGACCACCATTGTAAATGCAGCCCATCATTGACTGAAACATCATTATGTGCTGCATGACTGTACTTAGTACATTTTAGAAACTTAAATACATTGTAATTTGTGTAAGAGAAGAAAAACTCAAATTTAAATGTAAATATTTCCATAAGGCAATGCTACAGGGACTTGGGACCTAATGTCTCCTATGCAAAAATTCCCAAATACAATAAAAAATTCTTTCCTACTATTACACTTCATGTGTTTTTTTTAAAGAAGCAAAATAATTCAGACACTAAAAATAGACTAAGCTTGGGAAATTTACCTATCTGGGATTACACCATTAAAACCATATGCTAAAAAAGACATTTTACAATGGCAAAAAATATAATGAGATTCCACACCAATCTTTATTTATATTTTGGGGCCTGGAATAAATCTTATAATTTGTCTCTTCCAAAGTACATTTTATTTTGTTAATGGTGTGGTTTACCCCCATTCAACAAAAACAAGTATGATTAATATACTAGAAATATTTTAAAGAAAATCTCCTAAAGAAGACATTTTTATTAACAAATCCAGACCAATGATTGTCTCAAAAATTAAATCTATTAATTTTCTGGTAGTGTCACTTTAGAAAAAATTTCATAACCAAATCATACATCTAATTAACTGATGTAAGTTTTAGCATTCACATTCTAAATCATGGAAGCCCTATTTTATAAGATATTACCACTCAAGGTAAATACTATATTACATGTCAAGGAAATAATGAATTTTCTAAATTTTCAATAAAAATCTGAAAAACTCAAATTATAACACTAACATATCCATTAATAATCACAAATAAGAGTTTAAAAAAAATCTACAGATTTAAATAAGTTTGCAAATTATGGCAGAGTAAATAAAACTGTCAAATACTACTTTTGAATTTAGTTTATATCTTGCCCAAAAAATGTGCATATCATAGCCAAAAGAATTTTTCTGTAGAATTTTATTTTGAAAATATTTCACTTCAAGATCTAAAAAACATTTTAAGATATGAAAATGTTATACAACTTATCTATTACAAATTAATTAGATAATTCTGCAATAGGTACACTGTTAGCTCACCTACATAAAAAATATTGCACATTTTCCTTTATTTTGTCTCCAGATATGACTGATGTCTAAACTACATAGAATTCCAAACTATTTTAAAGTTATTCTGTGAAATGTCATCTTTATAAATATCAGAACTAAATGCACTGTAAACAGCCATTTTGGTAAACATGCATTTATTCACAGTTGATTTATTTACTTTAGATAAATGCATAACTATTCAAAATTATATTAAGAACCTATGTAGAGGTACAAGAGCACACTATACAAATCTCTATTTCTATCTTCATTTTGAGGAAACACTGATCTTGGCAAAAATCTGGCATTATTTTTAAAAGGAACTATTGCTGGTAAAAAGGCATACTTTAAAACTTTTCTGTGTCCTGCACCTGCCACTTTTCGTTTTAAATTAAGATTTAAAAGCATCTGTTTTCAGAGATTCATCTATCACTGCATAAGTGAATAATCATATAAAAATGGACCCTGAAAGCAGTTGACAACTTAAGTTAAAATGCTTTGAAAGGCCCATTCTGCTCATAAGTTATGAGTGCCTAAAACTGCTAAACCACTCATGGACCATAATTTGAATAAACTGATAAAATCAGAGTATTTTAAATGTTAATAAACTGACACAAACCTGCATAATACAGCATTCCTCCAATGAGTTGAGGTCATATTATACTTTAAAAATATAAATAAATATATTGAATTGTGAGTCTTATTTCTATAATAACCCCAAAGTGTTTAAATATGCTTTTAAAACAGAAGTGGGTGACTGTAGAATATAGTTCCAGACTTGACTATTAGTGGCAAACACAATCATTCCTTACAGATAACTCTACGGGTGCACGGGCTTGACTGATTGCAGTGATTTCATTTTACAGGAGTGAACCATACTTTACACACAAAGAATATATTACTTGAAAATCCCCAAAATAGAAAGGAAATGTTTAGAAAGCTGTCAAATGCTTCTAAATGAAAAGTAAAGGTCTATTTCTAGCCGTCTTCCACACCCTTAAAGTAGGAATTTGACAAAAGTCCAGGGGTACAATTTACAAACTTTGACAAACTATTAAGTTAAAACCATTTTCTTTGGGGGAGGTGAGAGAAAGTACCTTTAAAACCTGTTATACAAAATTCCAGCTGCCTTTTTATAAAAGTACGTTCCTTAGATTAAAATCATAAAATTAAGGTGCAAGAGTTTAACAAAAATGAACTAAAGAGCTTTATTGACATCACAGTACATTCAAGAATAATTTTAAGAACATTACAGCTGAAAGAGAATGGCATTTATAGTCTTATTATGCACTATTTTTTTTTTGAAAAAAATGTAATACAAAGAAATCCTATTAAGTAACTTGGAGCAGCATTGAAAAAGTACACCTATTTACAGATTTAAAAAAAAGATTCTGGTTTCACCTACACAGCCACAATGTGCCTCTATAATGAGACAAGCCCTTAAAACTCATGGAATTTTTTTAAACAACATCATGGCATTCTTGCCACATCATTCCTCAGCGCTTACGACGGGGAGGGGTTGTTGATCTGAAAAAAAAAAAAAAGGGAAAAGACAAAATTTAAAAATAAAAATGTATTTTAAACAAAAAATCTGCAATTTTAAATAAATAATATTATATAGGATTTCTAACATTATTTAAGACTATGATCATTTATCAAGTACCAAACTGAGTTTATTAAAGAGAGAGAGAAAGGACACTTTCAACTTTGAATAAATTCAGTCAAATTTTTTAAAAAATCAGACAAAATACTTTAAAAAGTATACTACCTTGATCGGGACTTAGACTTGTGTTTGCGGCTTGCCTTCTTACCAGACCTTTGAGATTTCTCCATGGATCGCGATCGACTATGTTTAGGCTTCTTAGCCTTCTTTTCTTTGCTACTTCCTGGAGATTCAGAACTGCTCCTTCCACTAGAATCAGAGCCTGAATGTTTCTTACTATCTTTGGTAGTACTTTTCTTGCTATCTTGTCTAGAATCATGTCTTATGATTTTAACAGATATAGAACCACTCCTAGAGAATGTTCTTTCACTTTCTCGTTTCCTTTTTAACCTATCATCCTGACTACTGAACTTAAAATCTTTTTCTTCCCTTTTTTGTTTCTCTTTCCTTTTATCCTGTTCACGCTCCCTTTCTTTATCTTTCTTTTTCCTATCTTTATCTATACTTCGACTCCTCTCCTTTTTCCTCTCTTGTTCTTTAGCCTCACCTTTATGCTTATGACTGCTCCCACTAAGATTTCCACGTTGATCATCAATTTTACGCCTATCTCGACTCCTACTGCGACTGGAACGAG